TGTTGGTTTCTGCGTAAGTCATGGATTATTTCTTGATTGTTTTTTTTTGCAATAATATAGGGCCCTATTTATTTCAAACTTTTAGACCTCTGATATATTCCTCCTTATTATCTCTTCCTTTTTTTTAATATTTTTTATTCATCTTAAAAAATCAACTATGGGAATAGGATTCTAATCATGTCTAGTCAAATAGTTGAAATTGGAATGAACCATTTTGATTCTAAGACTCTATTCCTATGAATCAAATAGACCCTACAGAAGGGAGGCTTATAGTATTGCAAGTGAATGAAAATCTGGGGAAGGTTTTTGTAATTCCTTTCTAGCCTAGGCATTTAAACAATTCACTCTTGAGCTATATTAATGCTTGATAAAGCAATTGAAAATAAGTTGTCCCTAAGGTTGTATTTAGTTTGAAAGAAAAGATAGAGAAAAGAAGAGAAAGGTTTGTATAGGTTTCCCTATAAAAGGAAAAAACAAAGAGTAAATTTATGAGTCACAGTGAAATAAAAAGATACAAAGAGAAATGAAGTTGCAATGTGTAGAATCTTAGATAAAKTAGAAAATAATCCATTGATAAAAGAAATTATTGCATCATATATACATAAATGGAGTGACATGAAAAGCAATTTAACTCAAACTTAATCCCATCGCTCTAACCTTTCATTCCAATCTCATCTTGACCACTCAATCTTATCTTATTATAATACATTGAAAGTCTAGTGCGGGGATCTCAGTCCCACAGCCTGGTGAATAGCTTATTCACAGTAAGAAAATACATAAAGATTTTGATATCTTATTACAAACTGAACCGGTCTGATTGGTGTCTTCAAGAACAACCTTATTAATATCCTTACTAGAAGTCGACCCTCCAATATTATCCATTAGAAATAGTTTCCTATGAAAGTCGGTAGCCACACACGCAAACGATTCTTGCAATAAGATTTTACCTGGTTGCAGACCTCAGAATAGCAAAAATTAACAAGGGTAACCTCCTTGCAGAGATTATTGAAGAGTAAAGAGACCTCTTCATCGCCACCCAGGTAATTGGTGATAATTCCACGGTGGCAGAGAAATCCCACTTCCTCCGTGGTGCTAATTAGCTTATTCATCAGGAAAGCATAGGATGTGACTACATGAAGGGGGCGACTATTACTGCATTGCTCCCATGCAATTAGATTTCTTAGCAGAACCTCGAAGTGATCTTCAATATGTACTGGTGGAATTTCCAACACCCCATGACTGAATTTGATGTCCAGGAAACTTGTTTCTTCGTGACCCTTCTTGAACTTGATCCCAGCCCGTCGGAGCCTTGTCACACTGAGCAATAGATTCCCTCCTGGATTCGACTTTGGTTGCAAATATTTCACATCGACTAACAGAACCTTGTATACCAGATCGAGCAAATGCTTGCTACTTGTAAATTTGGAAGCCTTTAAAAGTAGGTGTTGGTCGTTTGGAATTAGAGGTTTGAAGAAACGAAGGGCAAGCCTTGTGAGTGACTGATTTTCATGGCCAGAGAACTTCGACTTCGTTTTAACGAATAACTTGTCAAGAACGAACAGAGGAAGTTGATTTTCAAGTAATATCATGTCGCGGACCAGACTTGCATACAACCAGTTGGTATTGAATATTGGATCGTTCTCATCCTTTTTCACCTCTGCACTCCTTAGGAAAAGCTCGATCATGAAGAAACCATCAAATAACATCATTTTTAAAAAATCGTTTCTGCTCATTTTACTGATTTCTGAGTAGGATTTGTGAATTTCTTCTTCTAAGAAACATAAAATATTGAAAAACTCCCCCAACTTTTTAAAATTTGACTCTTGTGTTGTTGATATTCGATTGAGAAGTGCTTTAACATATCGCTTTTTGTGCTCTTCCATGGTCTGCAAGCTTTCTTTACCATGGTGATTAGGGCCGATAGCTATCAACTCGGGCACGTAGGCATATTGGTTTATTTTGTGAAATTTCTCAGGGACTCTATGAATACAAGAAGATGAACTATAGGACGACGAAGACTTACCAGTAAGCTCTTCAAGATCTTTGAGGGTAGAAGCAGCCAATTCCTTGCTGAGATCACTAATATCTAATGTAACATAGGATACATCTGCATTGGTATGATGAGAATCGACATTACCAGACGCCATTCTTCTGCTGTGACATCTAAGATGTGAGTAACAGCGTTGGGCACACATAAACTGGACGGATAATTGCGCTCACCATCGGGGATCGAGGGGGCGGTTCATAATGGATTATTGCAAATTTTTTCTCTAATTTTAAGAAAAATTTAATTTATATAGATCCAACTAACCTTCAAAGCTTGCTACCATTAATACTCTTGATTATTTGAAATTTGTAAATGTTACTTTGACCAACTACCATTCTTCCAAGCATTTTTAAAAGCATTCTTTCCTTTCACGATCAAAACTCTAGTTGTTTAATTTTTGGATGCTCTAATATGTAAACAAAGTCTTGTTTTGCTCAATGATCAACACCAATTCAACTCCTCTTGGCCCCAACAATTTGATCTCACTGCCATAACTTGCCAATTCAAATACTTTAATTAGAAGGGTTTCTAAGTTGAACCCTTGATGCGAAAGATTCAAAATATAACTTTCTTCCTTCCAAAACCTCTCTTCCAGCAAAGAATGTTAAATGCTTGGTTTCAACCTCCTTAGATCAATATTTGTATGTATATGTCCATTGAATCTCAAAAGCATAGGTTTGGAATACTTGGACCAGAGTAAATAGTGTGAAATGGGAAGAATGCAGAAGCCCAGAAAGTAAGGTAAGATTTTACTATTAATTTTTTTGAACTTGCTGAATAAGATAAATCGGTATGTCTACCTTTCAAAGAATTAAATATATGGGAGATGAATAAAGGAAAAAGATGGCAATGGCTTGCATTGGAACATGAAAATAAGACTTATAGGGATTTATGCATACTAAACTAATATTTATTATGCTGAAAATACACTAAATTAATATTTATTGTATTTTAAGTAATTATATATTGCATATTTGTGATAAAACTATTTTCAATAATTGTGTATAAAATTTATTTTTATAACAAAAAAATTTTAATAATTATTAGAGATTAAATTACTGTTGCTTAAGTTTCTAAATTTAATTTATTGTACTTTTTGTATTTTTGTTAAAAAATTACTTTTACTAATTATGTCGTTTTGTAATAATTTATTGATTAGTTTTTATTAGAGATTAAACTATTATTTGATATTACACTATTTACTCCATTGTCCTTTTTTTATTAAGATTTATGAACAGGGCATTCATCCATTCAGGAGCAGCAAGATGTTYTACAACACACAGGACATACTACGAGAATGAAGTTGATGGGTTTGCAAATTTTCAATGTGAAAGTTGGGCATTTTCTTATCATGTCCATGTGCCAAGCCCATCAAGCTTTGTTCTTCAAATTCTA